TACACTTGTCTTAATCTCATTCCCTATCTATTCACTGCCATCTAGTTGATCATGCCTCATAATGACCCTATCTTGTGTTTCTGAGACTACATCTTTGTAAGAGTTGGTAGCCTCATCTTTCTCCCACAGAGTAGCTGGTGGCTTTGAACCATTGACCTTGTGACTAGCACGCTAACACCTAATCCATAGTACCCCCAGGGCTCCCTTTTGCCTCATTAGGATGACTTTTTTTTTTAAGGGCCAATCTAAACAGTGACTTCCAAGGGGATCTGCGGGCCTAGTTAATCATAAAGACAAGAGGTCAGCTCAGAAGGCTTTGGTGAGTGTTTTTCAGGATTTTAAAGGGGTAACCTTGGAAGATTTTATTGAAGTATAATCATGGAAGCTAATTATGAAGTTTTAAGAAAATTGAAAACTGGAAGCAACACGGTCAATTGGCGTAGTAACATAGTCCACAAACATAATGTTCCACATCCTATTTTAGGGAGAAGCAGCAAAGGTCTTAAAAGCTTGTGAGCAACCATCTAAGATGCAAATGTTGGCTTCTCTCTGGAACCAAAGAAGAATAAAGAAGATTGAAGAGGCATGCAAACAATAAGAGCAATAGGCTAATGGACAACAAACAGCCCTACAACCAGAACTAGAAAGTACCTGGCTACCACTACCGAATGTTCTGAAAAGGGTCACATTTGGATGGAGTGGGAGAAAAATGTGGAATAAAACTCAAAATCATCAGAGCAGGATTACTGGTCAAACAGAGACTGATGGTACACTTAATACTATGGCCCTTAGTCACCCTTCAAACCCGGAACTAAATTCATTCCTGTGGCTCAATTGCCAGCCAAAGAATAAATGAAAGTTATAAAGGGAACAATAACACTACAGAGTCACACAGTCCCTAGAATAAGTCATTTGAGATCCAAAGGGTGACATTAAGTGAAGACCAAAGTTCCGAAGGGCTAGAAGGAAGTGAGGAGTGGGCACAGGAAACAGGGGAATTGGGATAAGTGATGTTACATTGTGGGGATTACAATCAATGACTTTAAATAGGATATTTTATGGAAAACTAGCTTTGCAAACCTTAAACCAATTGACATTTTTAAGCTAAAAAAGGAAAAACCATATTGATGAGGAAAGATCAGGAATATTGCACATATTTTTTCCCATCACAATGCACCTGTTGTTGGAGAACCTTACCAAACCCCAAGCCCTGATCTTACCCCTTCACACTTACTTTTGTTTCCAAAACCCAAAGGTCATTTAAGAGGAACATGATTTGAGTCTTTCAAGAATGCCAAATGGTCATTTTGATGGATGTCAATTGAAGGGCCCAGACTTCAGAGAAGCATTAGATGGAAATATAAGCATATAATAGAAGTATAACTAGAAGTATAAATTAAGTGGAAGATAAATAGAGAAACAATCGCTTCACATTTTGATATCTTATTTAATAAAGGTTTCTATGATGTTCTGGCAATGCTTTTGGACTTACTCTCCTAGAAATCACAGAGGAAGTACACCTGGGAATACTTTTTAGACATAACCTAATACTTCACATGATTGACTTCCTGGATGTGAAGGATTAGAACCATTGTCTGATGGGACATCTCAGTCAATTGACATAATATAGTTCATAACGTTATATTGTAGCTTGGTGAATAGTACCTAGGGTCTTAAAAGCTTACAAGCAGCCATCTGAAAAACAACTATTGGTCTCTCTTCATCTGGACTAGAGCACAAGAGAGAGAAGGAAGCACAAGACTCAAAGAAGAAGCCAGCCAACAGGACCAATAGCCACAGGAAGCCCAGCCTCACCTACCTTAAGACCAGAAGAACAAGATGGTACCTGGCTACCATTCCTGATCATTTGAATCAGGGCCACAATAAACAAACAAAACCCAGAATCGTTGGATCAGCTAAGGCTGGAGCACTCTCTGAGACTATTACCCTGAGATATTCTTTAAAACCTGAATAAAAACTTCCCCCTGTAAGGTCATCTTTTAGTTAATAACATATTGGCTCATAAAATAATGACCACTCATGAGTACTGTGCTCCTTTTTAAAAGTCATATCCATATGACACCAGGGAAGGAAAATGAGGCTTTTTACTCCAAGAACGAGCTGCAATTTTGGAAACACCCAGGGACAGTTCTGCCCTGTCCTATAGGGTCACTATGAGTCAGAATCCATTCACTGGCAGTTTTTTGTTTTATTTATTTATTTTTGAATGAATCATTTTATTGGTGGGCTCTTACAAATCTTGTAACAATCCATCATTCAATAGTATTCATCAAACTTGTACATATGTTGCCATCAACATTTCCAAAACAATTTCTTTCTACTTGAGCCTTTTTGGCCCCTCCCTCCCCCACCTTCCCACCCTCATGAATCCTTGATCAACTATATATTATTATTGTTATTTCATGTCTTACACTGTCCATTGTCTCTCTTCACCCACCTTTCTGTTATTCATCCCCTGTATGTGTGTGGGGGGCTATATAATCCAACCTTGTGATGGGTTCTCCCTTTCTCCCCCCGCCCCCCACTATCTCCCTACCCTCATGATATCGCTGCTCCCACCACTGTTCCTGAGAGCTTTATCTGTCATGAAATCTATGTGTTGAGAGCTCTTATCTGTACCAATGTGTGTACTCTGGTCTAGTTGGATCTGTAAGGTAGAACTGGGTCACAGAGTAGTAGACGTGAGAGGTAAGCATTCAGGAACTAGAGGAATGTTGTGTTTCATCGGTGCTATACTGCACCCTGGTTGAATTGTCCCTTCCTTGTAAACCCCTCTGTGGGGAGATTTCTAATTGTGTACAGATGGGCTTTGGTCTCCACTCCAACCCCCCTCTTTCACACCGAAAAAAATTAATTGTTTAGAATCTTTTGATACCTGGTACCTGCTCCCATGGACACCTTATGATCACACAGGCTGGTGTGCTTCTTCCATATGGGTTTGTTACCTGCTAGATGGCTGCTTGTTTAACTTAAAACCTTTAAAAACCCAGATGCTGCATCTTTTGATAGCCAGGCAGCATCCACTTTCTTCACTATATTTGCTCATGCACCCATTTATTTGTCTTCAGCGCTCTTGTCGGGAAGATGAGTATCAAAGAGTGCCAGGTTATTAGAACAAAGTTTTCTTGTGTTAAGGGAGGCCTTGAGTAGAGACCCAAAGTTCCTCTGTTATCTTAGCACTTAACATATAAATATACACACATTGGCCTCTATCCCTTTCATTATAAATTAATATATTTACATATATACATACCTATAGCTATTGTTTTATTTTAAATGAGACCAAGTGGCAAACAATTAATTTATTTTTTTTTTTGAAACTCAGAATTGGTTATTGACAATGCCCCATGCTGTCCTCTGCTCTCAGAACAGCTCTCAGGATCAAAAGAACCCAACCCAAGTCCCTGAGGTTGGCGTCTTAGCATGGCTCCCCTCCCTGCGGGAGGGCAGAGCAAGGACCCCCGCCTGCTCCCATCAGGCCGCCTTTGGGATGGGGAGATGCCTGAGCATCACACAGTGGCGCCACTCTCTCTGAAGCCGCGAATGCAGGGGTCACCTTTACTGGGATGCAGAGATGGTGTGGCCCCCGCCTATCCTGAGGCCACTCTAGAACAGTCACCCCGGGGAGGACAGTAACCAGACCCAGACACACACTTTTGCTCCCCCTCCTTCAGACTGTCCCCACCACTCCCCGAGATCCAGGCTATGGCAAAGGGGCTGGCAAGGAGGGAATGGGGAGGACAATTATTTTTTAAAATATAAGATTGTAAGGGGGAAGGGAGGCTAAAGTAATGGAAACAGAATGATCAGTTCAAAAAGATTGAGAATGTTCATGAATTATGAAGAATGTAACCAATGTCACTGAATAACTTTGGAGAAATTGTATAACGGGAACCTAACACAATGCCTCTCTCTCTCTCTCTTTTAATGCTGTTGAAGGGTCGAAGAGGATGAGGCGTGAAAATTGCCATCTTGGTGTCCTTAGCAGGAGCATAATGCATGGGTTGTGCAAAAAGTTAACACCTCTGGGTTGGTAAGTGAAAGGTTAGGGGCTTAAGGCTACTTGTAGGCACCCCAGAAGAAAAGGTCTGGCTATTTACTTTGGGGAAATCCGCCATCAGAAACCATATGGAGTAGTTCCACTCTGACACACCTGGAGTTGCCGTGGGTGAGGAGAGATTGCACAGCACAGCACCTTGGGTTTCGTTTGGTTTCACTCAGAGCAGTTTCAGAATACATTTGCAAAACAAATTATACTGAGTGAAAGAAGCCAATTGCAAAAGAATACATTGTGTATGATTCCACTTATATAAAATTCTTTAAAGGGCGAATTAATCTACTGTGAGCGAAGACACATCAGTGGTTGCCCGAGGTGGGTTGGAGCCACAAGAGAAAAGCAGGAGGAAACCAGGATAGGGGCGCGTACACTGGATGGCCGTGTGACCCTGACTGTAGCAGTATTTCATGAGTGCATATATGAGGCTATCTGTCAGATCAAATTGTTTACCTAAATAACATTTTAGAAACATACATTACATGCAGATCAAAACCACAATGAGATATCAGGTCACCTTTACTAGGATGCCTGTAAAGAGCCCTCGTGGTTTGTTCTCTGAGGCATTGGGTTGTTAACTACAAGGTCAATGGTTCTAACTTACCAGCAGCTTCGAGGGGAAAAGATGTGGCTGTCAGCTCCTGTAAATAAAGACTTACTGTTTGGGAAACCCTACGTAGGATCACTCTGATTCAGAACCCATCTTATGGCTGTGGGGTTTGGTGGGAAGTTCCTGAGTGGTGCAAGCAATTTATGATTGGCTACTAATCTAAAGGTTGGCAGTTTGATCCCGCCCTCTGGCTCTGCAGGAGGAAAACCTGGTGATAAGCTCCCATAAAGATTAAAGTCCAGAAAAAGCCTGCTACGGGGCAGTCCTAATTTGTCACATGGGGCCACTATGAGTCAAAATCGACATTTCAGCGCAATGGTACCTAAGAACATGATCGAAAAACGGGGGAAACAAATGCTGGCAGTGGTATGGGGACAATGGAACCCGTGTTCATTCTGCATTCCACAGTGGAATTGTAACAGGGTCTCGCCGCTATGGAAGAGTTTGCTATTTATACTTTTACCACAATGGAAAAATGAAGTAAAATCACAGGAGCTCCACGGCAATATATTCTTTTGTTCCTCTCCCGAGGTGAGCTTCTGTCCTGAATTTGGTAGTTATTGTTCCTTTTTTATAAAAGAAATCATTTTATTGGGGGCTCATACAACTCTTACCATAATCCATACAAGTTATTATTCCATATGTAGCATTGTTTTTGCGTGTTTGTATCATTTTATAAGTGGGGAATGTGCTTTGTGCATCCTGCTACAACTTGATTTTTTTGAAATTCTATAGTTTCAAATTTATCTCTGTAGATTCAAGTTCCTGTAGTGCGTTCATAGAAACTGCCGTATATTTTGTTGTATATTTCATAGTCCAATTGCTTCATTGTCTTATTGGTACACACATTTAGCTGCCTCCCCTTTTCCACTTCCCAGGTGCTATAATGAGCTAACCTTGTTCCCATGGGGCCTGTGTGAGGGATTCTCTAGCTGACCTGAGACAAAGTTACAACAAATTGCCCAAGTGTAGCTTAGCATGGAACCAGGATGTCAAATCTATGCTTCTCCTTAGTCACTATCCCCCTTTGTCATGTTCTTCTCCTTCACCCCAAAGCAAACAAACTCACTGTCATGGAGTGGATTCCAGTTCACAGCAACCAAACCAATAGGTCAGGATAGAACTCTTACAGAGAGTAGAAAATCTCATCTTTCTCCTGTGGAGCAGCTGGTATTTTTGAACTGCTGACCTTGTGGTTAGTAGCCCAACTGTAACCACTATGTGCCATGATTAGCATTCTCAGCCACCACAAAGTCCTGGGAGCACTTGACGGAGCCTTATTTTGAAGTAGCAATTTTATCTTCAGAGCCACCTTGTACACTCTTGATTCCAAAGAGCACTTTCTAAATTTACATCTCTGGCAGTATGGTCGCACAGTTTTAAAAATGCTGCATTCACTTCTAAAAGGTTCTTTAATATTTCATTGGCTGCAGATCCATCAGGCATCACTGTGAAGCCGTGTATGTTTCTCTATATAAGGGCTCTCCCAGGCTGTTAATGCCAAGGAACAGATTTCTCCCCTAAAGTGGAAACAGAGGGACAAGCACAAAGAGACAGTGGGTCTGCTGCTTGCTCAACAATCACCCCCATTGTGCAGTCACAAGCTCCACTTGTCACTAAGCAACAGTAAGTTCACCTGAGATTCTCTCTCCTCATACATAGCCTCAAAAAGACAAGAGGAAAGTGTGTTTTGTCTGCTCCCTGCAAGATGCAAAGTCCTTTAATAGGTTCCTGGGTAAGAGTGCACCTCCTGGCCCTGGGGCTGTACCTGAAATTGGAGTGAGTCAAGAGTAGGATTTGGGGCGGCGGGGGCGGTGGGTGGGGGGGTTCTTTCAGTGGCATCCAGCCTAGTGCAGGACCCCTGGCTGCCCACTTCCCTCTACCGTACTGAGGTTACACCTGGGGGCTTCCTATTCTTCTTGACATCAACACCCCTCTCCATAATTTTTGGCTTCCTGTTAGCCAGCTGAATTTCCCAGTCCTCCACTTAATCCTCCGCCCCATCCATTCCCTGCCAGTCATTTGCTTACCCTCCTCACACGTCCGGAGCCTGACTGCTCAAGTCGGACATCACCTTGAAGACAAAGGTGATGTTTTCTTCTATCTGCATTTCTTATACAAGCCCTGTGCCTGGCACAACGTAAAATAAGTCCTATTGAACAAACCTGAACGGAGACCCAGGGGTGCTCCATAAATGGTAGGGGGCTGGACAGACAAGCAGGGCTACACAAGCCCTCTGTGGGAGGAATTGTCAGGAGGGGTTGAGTCCTCCTGAGAAGCCCACTGTGACGGCCAGCCAGATCCAGGCTTGGGACAGACTTCTGCACAGGGCTATAATGATGGAGAAGAAAGCATACTCATCCTTTCCAGGTGCCCTGGGTAAACACGGCCCTCAACAGGGTGTCTGCCTAACAACACCTGCACAGACTCCTTAGAATCCCCCAGGCTTGGCCAGTGCCTTTTTTTTGTTTGTTTGTTTGTTTTGTTTCTGTTTTTGTTTTTTTGTTTTTCCCCCCTCTTTTTTAACATTTTATTAGGGGCTCATACAACTGTTATCCCAATCCATACACACATCAATTGTGTAAAGCGCATTTATACATCGTTTCTCAAAACATTTTCTCTCCATTTAAACCCCCGACATTAGGTCCTCATTTTTTCTCTCCCTCCCCGAGGCCAGTGCCTTTTTTCTGAAATTCTCAGAAGGAGAATCCTGAAGGAGAACTGTTGGTGAAGTGCTCCGTTTGGAATGTTCATCTCTTGCCTGCTTCCCAAGTTGTAGAGGGCTCCTCTTTTGCCTCACGATAGCAGAATATGTGGCAAATGAACGTGAACTGGTTTGTCAAAGGATGCAGAAGACATCTTCATTAGACCCTTTAGGGTCCGGCTGTATGCTTGCAGAGTTCTACAGATGCAGGAGTGCTCTTGGGGAAGGACAAAAAAGGAACTTCCTTTCCAACTCTCCAGAGAGAACTCTGTCACTGGATCATGGCCCTGTCTTCAGAACTCTGCTCAGTGCTCTGGGTCATCCCAATTCAGAGATGCTCCAGTGCCCTTCCCCCCTCCACTTCCCCTGCTGAAAGGTCTTCCCTGGCTCTTAAAAGAGAATTCATTCCTGGCCCAGTCTAGGCCCACCCCATCCCGAGCTGAGTTCACATCTCTCTCCAGCTCGCTGGCAATGCATTAGCCACAGGACCGACCTTTCTCATTGTTCTTTAACTCAGTTCTCTGCTCTTGGATCTCCTTCCCTGTACTTCCCACCACATAGAATAATCTTTCGGGGGCTCTCCACATGGAAAATCCTTCTCCCCTTCAGGTCTCACCCCTGCTATCATGTCCTGAAGGGGCAGTCCCATTTTCCTGTCTCTCCTGATCTGGTCACCCCGTGATTTCTTCTCTGACACCCTTTGCTATGTCTGAGTCCAACTCAAAGGGACCAGGACCTCCTGTTTTTACACTGCTGTCTCCCCCTGGCGCATCACTGCCATCGAGCTAATTCCAACTCACAGCCTACAGGACAGAGTGGAACTGCCCCTGTGGGTTTCCAAGACTGCCATCTTTATGGGAGTGAAAAGGCTCATCCTTCTCCCCTGAAGCAAAGGATGATTTCAAACCACTGACTTTGCAGGCAGCAGCCCAATAGTCAAAGACCAAACTCACTGCCATCTAGTCCGTTCCGATTCACAGCAACCCCAGAGGACGGAGCGGAACTGCCCCTGTGGGTTTCAAAGGCTGGGACTCTTTACAGGAGTAAAGTCTCCCAATAAGTCTCCCACTTAAGCAGCTGGGGGTTTTGAACTGCTGACCTTGTGGTTAGGAGCTCAATGCATAACCACTATGCTACCAAGGCTTCCAGCCTAAGAGCAGAGCTTAATAAATCATGAATGAATAGTATCCCTTCCCCACCATCCACAGGCACACATCCAGATACCCCTCCCAGATGGGCCAAACAGCTGTCCATCCAACTGTTCCAGCTATACCTAGAGCCACCTCTCTGCCCACTCCTCTCCTGAGGCAGCCCTCTTCCTCAGATTCTTTTTTTTCATCAGGACGCCATGCCCACCCCACCACCCCATCTTCCAGAGAGCCTTCTGGCTTGGGTTCCCTGGAGCCCAAGGTAGGGAGTTGGTGGGCTTCATCCTCTTACTGGCCTTGTTACAGCACAACAGCGGCTTCTATGGGCACTACCGAGGACAATTCAAGAGTGAAAGTGCCCGGGAATACCGCCTGGCAGCCAAGCCCCCGCCTCCAGCAGTGTTTCTGCAGCGGTGTCAGGTAGGAGGCAGCCTCAGGAGCAACTGCGGCTGGTTGTGCCAGTTCCTACTTCTCCTGGGCCCAGAACATTATCCCCAGATGAGCCAACACTTGGAATCAGCCTACTCCCAGAGTTGGGCCTTGAGGCATGGCCCTTCCTCCCTGAAATGGCAGACCGTCCCCCAATGGGCAGGGTGGACACCAGGGGGTGCCGACCAGGTGGGGCATTCTGGCCTCCAAGACTCTTGCAGGAGGTGGAGGATGTCATGGCTCAGGGAAAGATGGTGGCCGCGGAGTGAGGGCTCCCAGAGCCTACAACGTAAACCTTGAGTTCCGCTGCCTACTGACTTCAAGCTCCTTGATGGACCAAAGGACCTGGTCCAGCCTCACACAACACCAGCACAGGAGTGAGTAGGAGGCCTCCTCTGGTCAGAGGAGTAGTGCAGGAGGAAGCAGCTGCAGCCACTCCTGCATGCCAGGCCGGGGAGAACTGGAAAGGAGGGATGGTAAAGAGGGCCTAGAGCAGCTAGAACAGGCTCCCAGAGAGCAGCGGGATGTATGGTGCCAGGCCTTTTACCGCGCCAGGCCTGGAGGTCACAAAGAGAGACTATGCATGTATTAGTCAGGGTCCCAACAGTAAAAAAACTGCACACTCAAAGCAGAAAAACTCAGGGCAGTCTGCTAACCAAGGAGTGGGTATGAAGGTCACAGGCCTGGCTTCCAGACCCAGAAGGAGAGGGTCCTGTGGACAAGGTCAACCCCCTGCT